TATATATATATATATATATATATATATATATATATATATATATATATATATATATATATGTAAATGCATATACATATGTGTGTGTGTTTATGTGTGCATACATATATCTATAAATATGCATGCACACATCATACATGTACATGTATGTCTGCATGTGTATGTATATTTCGTTTCCATGTTTACTTCTGTAATACACAAGGTGCGAGAGACATCACACGTTTATTTCAAATTTTATTGCAGTTTCAATAGAAAATAGGATTATCACAGAAAAGTGTCCATGAAAATATAAATGTTCAATAAATGATGCTCGTATGCTAAATAGAAGACAATATGAAGTGTCAATGATAATATTGTACGATGTAAAGGCCTATTACCGTGCGATTTTATAACTGCAATTTCCCTTCCGATTAAACTGGTGCTTGAAAGTCCAATTAGATAATAATGATTGGCTGATCCCCGAGCATCCTGTAGTTCCTGCTTGACTTAGTCCTCAGCAATGGACTGACCACGGCGCAAGTTAGTGAATTCCTCCACTTCGATATCGGCAGACTGAGTCTTGCGCAGTGGAGCCTTGACGGAGGCAGGGTCGGGGTGCACCAGCTTGAAGGGAAGGTCGGCAGTCAGGTCGCCGGCAATGGCGCCGCAGTTGAGCTTGACGCGGACAGAATAGACACGATGATGCCCAAGGCGTCGTTGACGTTCTTACCTTCTGCCACCAAGGTAGACGATGCCAAGTTGGCGTCCTGGTCCTTGACTTGACCGTCGAGGGCGATGCCGAAGCGTCGCTTGTTGACGGAGGCAACAGGGTTGAGGGAGAAGGTCTTGGTGAGGTTGCATCCTGGGGTGATGGGACATCCTTCGCGAGACTCGAGTGAAGCCACAACTCGGCTGAAGTGAGTGTTGGTCATGGTGACCTCCACGTGCTGCACAACCTCAGCCTTCATGTTCTTCACGGTCTTCTTGGACACGTTGTTGACGGAAAGCGTTGCCTCGATGGGCTGTCCATGGAAGTAGACATCCTGAGGCAGAGTGACCTCGAGGTTGAGCCTTCCTGGGGAAAGAGTGAAGCCCTTGCTGACCAGGGTCTGTGGCTGGCGGTTGCTGGATCCAGGACAGGCGTACTGGACCTTTCGGACAGCAAAGCCGACGGAGTTCCGCTTGTGAGGACGTTCCTCCTTGCGGTCAGCAACGTACAGCCTGAGATCGTAGATCACACCAAGAGGCTGGGTCTGTTTCGGATAGGAAATTTGATAATCATATGATTCCAACAACAATTTTATCGATTTCACAGCCAATGTTATTTCAGAAGATATTTCAGTAAAAGCAAAAGAAACATGAGCATAAAAATGATAGGTATACGTACAGAACCCTCACTCCCGCCGTCGAGGGAGACGGAACAGGGGGCGTTCTCCGGAAGGTTGACGCTGATGGGGTAGGCGTTGGCACCCAGCTTCTTGATGAGTCGTTCTTGGGCGTCGGTCATTTGGACGTCTCCAGCATGGGGAGCGACCTCGGTGTTGACGAGCTCGAGCTCCTTGCTGAAGTGAAGTCCCATGACCTCATCCTCCTCGCGCCGTAGCGGTAGGTGACCGCCACGCGCGCGAAGACCCTCCTTCCACGCAGGTAGTCATGGTCCACGACAACCACACCGTCCACGGGGGAGGTGTGGCTGACGTGGTCCACGAAGTCCCGCCGACTTAGATACGCAGTGACCTTACCTGGAGAAAGAAAAAGGATCATTGTTCCATTGTCACATTTGTTACAGACATTTACAAAGCTGCTTTCCATTGCATATACAAAAAGATATGAGTGGTTAGTATTACCATTAGGTGAAGTCTTTTTGAAGACCTTAACAGCGTTGACCATTAAAATGGTTGTTGGTAGACTCGGAGGAGTGTGAAGTCCCGAAGACTGTCGGAGAGAAGCTGATGCCGAGCAGCGTTTGAGGCGGTTCTTATACGGCCATGCAGGCGTAATGGGATTAGTAGTAGTCAGACGGCGACACTTCCTGGAGTTGGGTGTTTTTGTTTTCTACATTTTTTTTTTAAATAAAAGAAATGCTTCATTTTGAAATATGCAACCTGGATCATAGGATTTCCGGTGATGTCAAAGATAATCAGTTAGGCCTTATATTATATCATTACTGCATTACAACTTAATGGATACCGCGATAAGTCTTTTCGGTGCCGAAATAGGTGTCATCTTCATGAAGTATTCTCAGTACAAGCTTTTATAAGAATTAGTACAAGATTGTCACACAGAATGAGCAAATTAACATTAACCCAAAGGATGAATTTTGCCATATATATATATATTTTTTATTTAGAATTATATATGAATTACTTTACGGCTAATTTGAAGTTTTAACATCTAATTATTGATAACGAGTTATGTGCAAACCTGGTTTTCTTCTTTAACGATAGCCAAACACTTCATAGCAACTTTTAAATTTAAAACTTTTATTTAAACTAGATGGAGGCAAGGGAAATGTTGAGTCCATGAAGCAGGGGCGTCATTTGGGGAGGGGGGGGGGGTGTCTGAGGGTAACCGCCCCCGAAGACTCTATCCCCTCAAGGTCTGGCTTGCCTTTCCTTCCTAAGGAATTCACTCCCGTCATTTTTCTTCTAAATTACCCAGAAAGTGTATTTCATCTCTCTCATAATTCTTGTCCCCAAGAAAGAGCTGAATGACGCCCAAGATGTGAAGGTATTCAGAAAAAAATTGATTCCATGTAATCATACATAGAGCTCTTTAAAACTGTGGTATACATTATGTATTGGTAGACATCACTATGTTTCACTAACTTAAGGAAATGCATGGAAGACAAAAACGTTTGATATTATAATTATTTATATATAATAATTTATAATTATAATTTAATTATAATTTGCATCATTTTTATGTATCTGTGTATGTGTTTATATATATACACGCACAAGCAAACACACGCAACATACACACACAAACACACACAACATGCGCGCGCGTACGCACACACCACACACACACACATAAATATATATATATACACACACGTCTGATTATATATTTTTTTTCATGCATTTACATAAGTTAGCTACTACAGATATAACCATCCGATATTTAGAAAAAATTATTGAATCATATTTTGGATATACAAACATATATGCAAACATACCCACTTCCAATTACGTGAGCATAGAGTGTATATGTACTAGAAAATAATCTCTAATATGTAAAATTTTATGAATGCAAAATTGCGCCATTCTTGACAATAACCCTGAACCAAAAGTTATAACAACACAGGCGAACCTACTATAAAAATAAATGAAGAGAACCAAACGTGAAGTATGAAGTTAATAATAAAAAAAACGTAAAAAGCGTTGAAATATTTCTATACTAAACCTTATCACAAAAAAGATCATGCTGAAAATTAATAGATAAATAATTTAGAAAGCATGTACATGGGTAAAAAAGGTGAATACTCGAAATTAAAACACTGTTCACATGACAAACTTAGAGGATTGGAAAATGATAAAAAGGATCATTTTAGTCACTAACTTGCGAAAGACACAATATGTCACTGCGATATTTAAGATGCATGCATCATTTCAAGAATGTAAGAAAACGAAAAAGTAACTCTAATTTCGTATTGTACTTACTAGTCAACATTTATGGTTTTTAAGGAGGGAAATATTGTATACAAAGGTTTACTTAAAGTTTTTGTATAATGTAGTTAAGCGAAAATATCGGATTGATAAGAGTTTTATATCGTTATTTATATGCGTGTTGCCATTTATTCTGGCATATTTTGTGCAAATACGCAATGCAAACGTAAATTTGTTAGTCTCATAATTTTCATATAGTTCTACAATAGAGAGTGCACGTCATATATATATATATATATATATATATATATAATATATATATATATATATATATATAATATTATATATATATAATATATATATATATATATATATTATATATATATATATATATATATATATAATATATGCACACACACATATATATATTTGTATGCACGCACACACACACACACACACACACACACACACACACACACACACACACACACACACAACACATATATATATATATATATATATATATATATATATATATATATATATATACATACATATATATATATATATATATATATATATATATATATATATATATATACTTCATCATGTGTGTATATATATATAAATGCATATATATACATACATATGTATATAATATATATATATATATATATATACATTATATATTATATATATATATATATATATATATATATATATATAATATATATATATATATATATATATATATATATATATATATATATATATATATGAATGCATATATATATATATATATATATATATATATTATATATATATATATATATATATATATATATATATTATATATATATAATATATATATATATATATGAATGTATATATATATATATATATATATATATATATATATATATATATATATATATTATATATAAATGTGTGTGTGTGTGTGTGTGTGTGTGTGTGTGTGTGTGTGTAAACGCATATACATATATGTGTGTGTGTGTGTTTATGTGTGCATACATATATCTATAAATATGCATGCACACATCATACATGTACATGTATGTCTACATGTGTATGTATATTTCGTTTCTATGTTTACTTCTGTAATACACAAGGTGCGAGACACATCACACGTTTATTTCAAATTTTATTGCAGTTTCAATAGAAAATAGGATTATCACAGAAAAGTGCCCTTGAAAATATAAATGTTCAATAAATGATGCTCGTATGCTAAATAGAAGACAATATGAAGTGTCAATGATAATATTGTACGATGTAAAGGCCTATTACCGTGCGATTTTATAACTGCAATTTCCCTTCGATTAAACTGGTGCTTGAAAGTCCAATTAGATAATAATGATTGGCTGATCCCCGAGCATCCTGTAGTTCCTGCTTGACTTAGTCCTCAGCAATGGACTGACCACGGCGCAAGTTGGTGAATTCCTCCACTTCGATATCGGCAGACTGAGTCTTGCGCAGTGGAGCCTTGACGGAGGCAGGGTCGGGGTGCACCAGCTTGAAGGGAAGGTCGGCAGTCAGGTCGCCGGCAATGGCGCCGCAGTTGAGCTTGACGCGGACAGAGTAAGACACGATGATGCCCAAGGCGTCGTTGACGTTCTTACCTTCTGCCACCAAGGTAGACGATGCCAAGTTGGCGTCCTGGTCCTTGACTTGACCGTCGAGGGCGATGCCGAAGCGTCGCTTGTTGACGGAGGCAACAGGGTTGAGGAGAAGTCTTGGTGAGGTTGCATCCTGGGGTGATGGGACATCCTTCGCGAGACTCGAGTGAAGCCACAACTCGGCTGAAGTGAGTGTTGGTCATGGTGACCTCCACGTGCTGCACAACCTCAGCCTTCATGTTCTTCACGGTCTTCTTGGACACGTTGTTGACGGAAAGCGTTGCCTCGATGGGCTGTCCATGGAAGTAGACATCCTGAGGCAGAGTGACCTCGAGGTTGAGCCTTCCTGGGGAAAGAGTGAGCCCTTGCTGACCCAGGGTCTGTGGCTGGCGGTTGCTGGATCCAGGACAGGCGTACTGGACCTTTCGGACAGCAAAGCCGACGGAGTTCCGCTTGTGAGGACGTTCCTCCTTGCGGTCAGCAACGTACAGCCTGAGATCGTAGATCACACCAAGAGGCTGGGTCTGTTTCAAAGACATGGGAAACCTGGTAATCTTATAATTCCAACAATTGTTTTTTTTCCGTAAGTAATCATTAGCCATAGAGAAGTTTGAGTAGTTGATAATATCATCTTTCGAAGTTTTTGCTAATATTAGAAGAATCTTTGGAAAGCATGCAAGTAAAGGACAGAATACGTACAGAACCCTCACTCCCGCCGTCGAGGGAGACGGAACAGGGGCGTTCTCCGGAAGGTTGACGCTGATGGGGTTAGGCGTTGGCACCCAGCTTCTTGATGAGCCTCGTCCTCTGGTTCTTTCCCTCCGTCGGTCATTTGGCCGTCCCTCCAGCAATGGGGA